GCATCATTTTATTTGAGGATTTCGTATCGTCTTTTTTTGATGAAAATTATATGTCGTGGAACTTTTATCTGGAAAAAAGTTTATCTCGAAAAGGCAAAGCGTTGCTTTCGCATCAGACACTTTACTTGATAATACTTAGGCCAGTTCAAAAATAGTGAGAGTAACGCTTTAATGCCATATAGTAAACTGAAGGAGAGTTTCTTTTATTATGAAACGATAGAGAAAAGAATGCTCTATCTTTCTATGCTATTTGATCATACTTTAGTTAATATTATGATAGAAAAGTTTTCATAAGATTCGTTTTGGTATTATATGTTTTGGTTACGACACTACATATAGTCATCGATATGAGTTCGATTCTTCATATTTTTTTCTTCTTTATTCTGCTTCTTTCTTTCTCTTATGTTTTTCGTTATTATCTTTTCTACTCTCATGCGTTGTTATGCATTAGGATAGACATCAGATGATGATCACAGATAAGAGACAGCTAAGAATTTTCATCAAGGTTTTATTTTCCCTAGACTGAAAGGCTAGGGTCTAGAAACCTAAATTCACCTGTGTGTGTGTCTGTCCATCTGTCTGTCTGTCTGTCTGTCGGTAACGCGGCCAAAATGGCCATTTTTTTGGCACATGTGACCATTTTTTTGGCACAAGCGACCATTTTCTTGGCACAAACAGCCATTTTTTTACTAAAATTAACTAGGTAACTATGGTACAAATGAGCATGTAACTATGGCACAGGTGACCATATAGCAACCATGGTACAGACAACTATTCCGGTAACTATGGCACAAATGACCATATAGCAACCATGGTACAAACTGTAAGTTTTGTGTTTTTGTTGAACGTGAGTTCAATTTTATTTCAATAATGAAGAAGGAAACACGAAAGAAGAAGAGAATGAAAGCATGAAAGAATTAAGAAGAAGAGAATGCCAGCAATAACCATTCTGAATACAATGAAAGAAGTGCATACGTATATATATGATAATAACACTATCACGTATTATAAGCTATGCGATAGAAAGATTAATGCGCAAAAGAATAAAAAGACAAGGTCAATATCGATGTTAATTGACCGTGAGAAAATAGATACGAACGAACAATTTCCATTGAGCAAGAAGAAACATATATAGTTCATAAGGAAGAATATTTCCTTAACA